CTTAGTACTCTTAGCTCCACCTCGCAAGCTGACAACTTGCGTATGAGAAATGAAGAATGCACGGCACTAGCCAGCACCACCAGAGTAGGTGCTCTCATAGAAATCCTAAACAAACGAATGAATCGCCAAAGCCATAAAATTTCTCTCCTTATACACAAGGGTCAACTATACAGCAACCATTCAGACATTTGTGAACTGTTTAACGAGACATTTGCAGCTAACTACCTTAAGCCCACAAGTCCACTTCCCTATTTACAGCCTACAATGGAACTCCCTTCTTCTTCAGCGCTGAAACAAATCACTACAGTTCATTTCACTTATTTTAATAGCAACCAAGCCATGAATACTCTTGAAAAATCTAGTAGCGCTGGTTTTGACGGTATACCATCGTATCTTTATAAACACGGTGGTTCTGACATTTCCGTTTTATTACTTAAGATTTTTACAATGTCCCTAGAAAGCCAAACCTATCCAGATAAATGGAAAACGACATTTATAGTACCTAAACACAAATCCGGATCAAAAACTGAAGTCAACAACTATAGGCCAATCAATATTACACCCATAGTATCTAGAATTATTGAAAGAATAGTTAAAGATGATATTCTCAAACATATGCTCAGCTGCAATATTCTAAGTCCAAACCAACATAGATTCCTAAAATCCAGATTATACATCACCTGTCAGCTTGAATTCTTTAACTATATAACTAGTAGCCGAGACAAACAACAACTAGTACTAGTCATCTACTTCGACATCTCCAAAGTCTTCGACCCTGTTGACAATTTGCTTCTGATCAATAAGCTGCACTCCTTAGGAATACGTAACCCATCATTAGGATGGATTGAATCATTCCTTAACAATAGGTCCCAAGTAGTTAGACTCGGTGCTGTAAACACTAAACCTAGTCCAGTCACTTCTGAGTTGGTTCAGGGTAGCGTCTTAGGCCCCCTTCTATTCACTCTATATGTCAACGACATATGCAGCTGTTTCTCACTTGGCAAACCATTCATCTTTGCAGATGATCTTAAAGTAGCTTACACATTCCACTGTGATGACCTGGGATACTTTCAGAAAGCTGTTCAGGAAGAACTAGATCGAGTAACTGCATGGTCCTCCACATGGAACCTAAAATTCAACCTTAAAATATGTGGTTGGATATGCTTCGGTGCACCCTCAATAAATATTAAACTGGTACTTGAATCTATCGACTTGCCTAAACTCCAAAGTGTTGTTGACCTAGGACTCAGGCACTCTAGTGACTTGACATTTTCTGAGCAAGTGGCAACACAGACGCGTAAATCGAGGATGCTCTTAGGATGCATACTCAGGAATTTCCACAGCTTCGAAGCAAAACTATTATTATATAAATCTTGTGTCAGACCACTACTTGAATATTGTCCATTTATTCTCAGCAGCACTCGCGTAGGTGACAAACTTAAAATAGAAAGTGTCCAACGATACTTCACGTCTAAACTTCTAGGATTTGACTGCGAAAAGGACTACACATCAAGGTGTATAACTCTACGTATCGACTCACTCTGAATGAGCCGACTCAGCATTAACCTAACACTTTTCTTTAAAGCCCTGCATAAAATATCATTCTCATTGACTATGCCAAACAGGCCGCACCACTTATTTTCAAAACGCGTCAGCTATTAGAACACTAAAACTCCTAAACTCAGTAATATATTTTATGACACTTAATAAACTCTAAGTCTTCGCACGAATACATGAAAACACAACTAGAATATAGGTAATGTTTACTTTACTGCGATATACAATCGACATAAAAATTTACATATGCATAAAAAATTATTGTTCTTTTCATGTTCTCATACTTTCTCTTTCTGCGATTCTGCTGCTGAGCCTACACTTCTATATACCTCCTGATCGAGGTCAAATGACCTTACATTTAAACTGAAATGAAACTGGACTCCAAACCATTTAACTCATAACCACTCAAATTCCATGAACGATCTCAGGCTAACATTTGAAAACGCTGGCCAACATTCTGTACAAGCAGTATTCTTGATCTGAAATAAAGAAGCAACTGGCTTTCAAACAGCTTTCAACGTATTACTCAACTAACGTGTACATTCTGTTACACTGACACAAAGGGCGCCAATGGATAGTTCTGGAATCGACCTCGGCCCCATCTGATGCAGTAATAATAATGGCTTTATTACAAACAGTGTTTGTGGAACAGGTATGGAAATTTCGGCGTGCATTACAAAATTGCAACTTATTACCTCATAAATTTTATAAGATTTTAAAAATAAAAATCAACAACAACAAAAAGAAAAAAGAGAAATAAAAGAAATATAAAAGAACAGCATTGCATTCACATACTTAAGCAGTGCACCACAGGATATGAAATATAAAATTAGTGTGTAATAGAATATGTGAGCAACAATATAATAATAACAAAGAAAGGAGAACAAAAGCTAATGGGAACTATTTGTTAGAGTGTCGCAGTAAGTTGATCGTGTCATGCCTAACAGTTTTCTCATCACATAACAGCTGTGCCAGATAAGGTATTGTGGAGTTTTTATACTTGGTAGTCCTGGCATACAGCTTCCTATAGTTGCTTCTAGTTCTACCAGATGAAATGCAAGGAGAGAGCTGCGTATGTAGGGGGTGTTCGGGGTCTGACAATATAGAATTTGCTAGTTTCTTACATGACATTATATGTCTATCCACAATTGTGTTAACCAGTTGGTTTAACAAAATCCCACTTCCCCTACTAACAGCTTTTAGTGCCCTACGCAGCAAAGCAAGGTTTTTTAAGTAGTCCAGCAAAGATTAATGGAGAGCAGTAAAGAGAGATGGTTAGAATACAAGAGTTGACAAACTGAGAAAGCAAAGACTGCTTTATACCAAACTACCTTAACTTCCTAACGTAGAACGTTAAGCGAAACATCTTTCTAGTCACAAGCAAGATGTGAGAGGACCGGGAAAGATCGGAGGAAATACTTAGTCCAGGGTACTTGACATTAGATTTAGTTTCAACCTCTTTGCCGTTGATGATAGTGGGACCATGTGAGCTAGCTAGTTGTTGTAGGTCACTTTTTCGTCTGAAAGTGAAATTTACCACCTGACATTTAGGCGGGTCCAGCTTAAGGCCGTTTGAAGAGGACCACTGACAAAAGTGGCTACATCAGAAATAGTGGGCTCTTTTCCGAGCTTCAAATATTCCTATGTCATTTGTAAACACAAGACTTAGAGCATTTTCCATTGCAGTCGGGAAGTTGACAATGTTATCCTGACCAAATGAAATAAGAAAGCTGTGGCAACTAGAATTAAAATCTTCAGTAACTATACACAGAGTTTCCGAAGAAGGTAGCAGCAAGGGAGCTAAATTCAACAATCAAACATGAACTTATCCAGCTTCCGTATCAAGGATCAAATTTCCTTTCTGTTATAAAACTACGATAAGACTGCTGAAAAAATTGAAATAAATACATCACTGTCCTAAAAATAATACATGAATTAACTTTAAATCACGGATGTTGCTCACAACAAAATTATATAGGAGAACTGACTTCAACCTTTATTTTTCCCAAATATTTGTATTACATTCATCCGATGTCTGGGTTTTTATAATAATTATAATAATTTATATTTAGTATAAACTGGTGAATTTACATGAAATGCATGTCATTTTTACAGGCACGATCAGAAATTTTATAAATTACAATCCTCAAGTATCATAAATTATTACTTTTTCGAAAGTTTGAACTGTACAATTATAGTACAAGCAATCAGAACAAGTTCTTATAACTGTTAAATTGTAAATCATTTACTAAGGTCGCTTTTACTTCGTTCCGTTTCCTGCTGATCGTTATGGTCAACCAGTGAACAGCGTATATCTGGATGAATGCTATTCCGCCACGTGATTGAACGCTGTTTCAGGAAGAGAAAACAATTCTGCGCAGCTGCAAAATGGTATAAAATGCAATTATGAATAATACATCATTGGAAGTATATTTACAGGATAAATACAAGGAGAGGAAGCTATATAGTACTTTAAATGATAGTTTACATTTGCAGTGTTTAATGCCAACCATATTGATCTAAGCATGGAAACCATCAATTTCCGATGAAAATATAGCTTTGTTCAAACATTGTGTTGTTGTGTTTTTAATCAAAGCAACCAGACTTAAAGCAAGCCACAAATATGAATAAAGAGCAACTTTCGTCATCAATAAAGGCCTAGGTAGTTAAGGTCAGATAGAGTATAATAGTGCGCAAATAAAAAGATTAGTGTGAGGTAGGTAAGTGATATATAAGTGATGAGTGAATTCAAAGATCTGGAAAATTAGAAGCCGTAGAACAAGCTGACTTGTAAGATGCGTCACGAATTTCTGTAGTGCCCAATGCGTAGCATCTTGACAAGAAGTTGAACAGGCTTGTAGATATATATATATTCCTGTTTATGTGGGAACATACCAATTGTACAGGCGTGGATAAGTTATTATATAAAATACACAAATTTCGACGTATGTTGAATTTACGGTTCGTTTGTTCTTTCTGACATTAGACTCAGTCAGAACAGTCTGCTAAATAGTCTGTCTGTGTAACACATAAAGAGATATAGAAATATTGTCTTCGCATTAACAAAAACCCAGACATCAGATGAATGTAATGCAAATATCTGGGAAAAATAAAGCTTGCAGTCAATTCTCCTATATAATTTTGTTGTGAACAACATCCGTGATTTAAAGTTAATTCATGTATTATTTTTAGGACAGTGATGTATTTATTTCAATTTTTTCAGCAGTCTTATCGTAGTTTTATAACAGAAAGGAAATTTGATCCTTGATACGGAACCTAGATAAGGTCACGTTGGATTGTTTTATTGCATCAAATTAGGCCGAGGTCGATTCCAGGATTATCCATTGGCGCCTGTTGTGTCAGCATGGCAGACTGTACACGTTAGTTGAGTAAGACATTGAAAGCTGTTTGAAAGCCAGTTGCTTCTTTATTTCAGATCAAAAATACTTCCAACTGGCGGTACGTTCGAAATTGGTGACATTTTTGCACGTGTTTGCTCTGATATTCATTTGCTGCTTATAGGCATATAATCCCTTTAATTATGGTCCAGATTTCTAAAAAACGTGTTCGTTGAAACACAGTTGTTTTAGATAGTGCCTTAACCTCGGTTATAACTGCATTACCACCCTGTAATACAGCATTAACTACTAGCTCACAAAATGGCTTGAGTGCAATTCTCACTCCTGTGATACAGATGAAAGATGTTCTGTTAGAGAACTCTGAGATCTGTAAATTAGACCTCCTTGTGAAAGATATCCAAAGGCAAGTAAATGAACTTCGGGAAAAATTAGGTCAGTTTGATAGAATGTCACTGCCAATGTCAAATATCATGGAGAGCAGTTCTGATATTGGCCAGGTTAAGTCTTTACTGAATGCAACTCAAAACAAGCTTTCGGATTTAGACCCAATAGCCTGTCTGTTAAGAAAGCATCCTAAAATGTCTCCAGACACCCTAAATAAGGCTGAAAATCTGATTGACTGCTTGGCTGCGGAGGTGATGAAGCGTATAACCTCTTCTCACCAGGCTATAGTTTACAATGTCCCAGATTCTCTTCCTCTGAAGACTGTTAAACACAAAATCCTGATTTGTTGCGGCATGGCCAGTGTTCCATGTGAATGCAAAAGACTTCGTAAAAAGTCTCACCAGGCTAACTGTCCCATTATTTTTAAGTTCAGTAATTCCCTTGATTCTAGTAAGTTTATTAAATGTCAGGATCACCTAAGACTGAACAGTAGTTATAAGTCTATGACCATAGCTCAGGATAAAACACCTTGTCAGCGCAGAATAATGCGCAGTAATAACCTGGCCACCTCCTCTAGCTTAGAATTACCCAAAAGCTATCGTGCACAGCAACAGTCACCTAATGCTGACATTAGCATTCAGCAAACCACACAACAACCACGCATGGCAATGGAACTAGGAACTGATTTAGATACCAGTACCCCTGTAAATAACGTCTCACCGAAAGATGTTAAAATAGGTAGAACTGCTGCAAGCTATTCTAAGATATTCTTACCCAAACGTGGTGACCTCACCACAATGAACAAATTTCGCCGGGTTGAGACTAATGATGAGGAAGAATACTTTGTATTCAATAAGCTTGCTGAGAGTAAGACTGTCAAAAAACCCTCACCTCTTACGAAATGTTCCTCTCGAAACACAAGTATATCTGGTTGTTTTCAGTACGCTCCACCTTATAGAAAGTCAGGCCCCAAAACCCCCAAAGTCTTACAACAAAAGCACCCTCCTACTCAATTTCCTTTAAGTTATAAAACCAAAACGAAAGTGCGTATCGGTATGATGGATAGCACGTGGATGGGTAGACCATTTGATGCAATGCGTTTTAACCGTCAACCCAGGCCCAACATCTACCCTTATATCCAGGAACAAATGGTAAATTTTCCAAGTGTCCCGAATCACTGGTACGACCCATGGTACCTAGGACCACCTCACTGCACTCTAACCCCGATGTACAGACACACAGTTCGACCCCCGTATCATTCATAAACTCTTGCGTTGTTGACGCACAAACAGATTTAGGTTATGGTGATATCTTAAGCCAGTTTGTAGTATCCCGTGACTTATTCACGATATTGCTAATTAATGCGCGTTCCTTAATCAATAAGATATCTGAACAAAGAACATTATTATTTATAGCCGAGCCTACTGTAGCTCTGATCACTGAATCATGGTGCTCATACTCTGTACTTGATGTGCATATAGGCATAGATGATTACACTGTACACCGTGCAAATAGAGACAGCAAGCGTGGTGGAGGATGTCTCATATATGTACATAACTCATTCGTAGCCAGTAAGGTGGAAGATGAACTACTGAACGATGTACCTGATTCACTCTGGGTCGTCTTACAAGGAGATAAGTACAAGCTTCTCATAGACAGCACCAAGCTCAACCAAAGAAACTGATGCGTTATTAGCTAAACCATTCGCACACGCCTCATCGTTTAGTACTAATTACAAAATAATTGCAGGGGACTTCAATCTTCCAGAAGTCAATTGGTTAAGTAGTTCCGGCCCGCAACGCTTCGACGAATTACTTGCCACTATCGATTGTTATGGATGGCAGCAACAAGTCCAGACACCTACTCGTGGTGACAACATGTTGGACCTTGTGTTTTGTCATGACACAGTCCCAGTCTCCACCTATGTTGGTAACAAATTTTCCAGTAGTGACCATAGAATGGTGCTCTGCTCTCTGCCTTTCTCACCACTAAATACAGGAAACAAACAGGATTCAAGGAGCTTGATTTGTCGTAGTTACAAACATACAGACTGGGGATTAGTCCATGAACTCATTCGACTCTGTCACTGGGATGAATATTTTACCACTGACTCCCTGGAGGCTGTAGTGTCCCTATTTTACAGGAATGTTATCCTTTGTCTAGATACTGTTGCTCCTAAGAAGGTAGTGAAATTAAGTAGACACCAAGCTGAATACATTCGGATTGCATACTGCAAAAATTTAAGGAAGTTAAAGAAACAGTACTATTCCACTAAGGATATATCACTGCTGCACTCAATCCATGAGTCTCTTGAATCTGTCAAGCGCCAACGCTCTCAAAAGGACCTCGACGAAGAATTAAGGGCACTTGAAAGCACCTCCAAAGTTTATAACTTAACAACACTTCTTAAAAAACGAATGCAGTCGACGAGGGACATCCCCTATTTAGTTCACGACAACGTTATCTACAATGAGCTTGCCACTATCTGTGAAATATTCAGTGAGTGGTTTGTAAACTTCAGTTTAGAAACGCGCATTCCTGGTGAAACCGGCCCTCTTACCAGCTCTTTCCTCGGAAGCATAGTGTTCACCGACCAATTAATAGAACAAGCAGTTAAAAGCCTGAAACCTTCCACTAGCACGGGACCAGATGACCTTTCTTCTATAATTTTCAAAAACAGTGGGTGCGATATACCCCTACTACTTCTTAAATTCTTCTCAATATCTATGAACACTGGCACTTATCCTAATGAGTGGAAAACTAGCTTCATAATTCCACACTATAAATCCGGTGATAAGGCAAACGTCCGCAATTACAGACCTATAAATATAACCCCAGTTGTCTCGCGAGTCATGGAGAAAGTTGTCAAAGATCAATTGTCAGACTATCTACTTAAGGAAGATCTTGTTACAAGGTCTCAACACGGATTTCTCAAAAATAGGTCTTGCGTTACTTGCCACTTCGACTTTTTCAACTGCATCACTAGTAGTCGCGAAGCACGTAAGCTAGTTGTTGTTCTCTACTTCGACATATCTAGGGCATTTGACATGGTATCTCACAGTATTCTCTTTGAGAAGCTGTATTCATGTGGGATTCGCAATCCATTGCTGAGCTTGTTAAAATCGTTTCTAAGCAATAGGGTACAAATAACCAAGGTTGGATCTGTATTGTCTCACCCTAGGCAGATCACAAGTGGGGTTGTGCAAGGTAGTGTCCTAGGTCCACTTTTATTCACAGTATACATTAACAGCATTTGCAACTGCTTCACCTCAGGTAAATCATTCCTATATGCTGACGACCTCAAAGTCGTTTACTCCTGCCACGCTCATGAACTAAGCGATATGGTGAATAAAATACATCTTGAACTAAGTAGTCTCGCAACATGGTGTACTGAAACCTGTCTAAAGTTCAACATTGATAAATGCGGCTGGATTTGTATCGGAAACAGTAACCTTGACCTGAATCTTGATATAAATGGGCGTAAACTAGCCAAGCTCAACTCAGTCGTAGATCTCGGTATCAGATACTCTAGTAACTTAACGTTCTCTGAACAAACTGATTATGCCAGACGTAAAACACGAAGGCTCCTAGGATGCATAACTCGCAATTTCGTTTGTTGTAAAGTATGTGTCCGACCTGTTTTAGAATACTGCCCGTTTATTCTTAGCGGACTCAGACAAAATGACAAGCTTAAGTTAGAAGGAGTGCAACGGCAATTCACCTTAAGAATTCTTGATTTAGAAAGTGGTATCCAATACTATGAACGTTGCGACAGACTAAGTTTAGAACCACTCTGGAAAAGACGTCTTAAGCTAAACCTGATTTTTTACCACAAGCTAACTAATCTGCTCGTGCACTCCTCCGAGCCAATAATTAAACCTACCGCTGTCATCAGTTACAGTCTCAGAAATCATCACAACCTAGTTGCTATAGAGCATTGTCAGACTTACATGCGGTATAATATCTTCTTAAATAAGTTTTCATTCATTTGGAATAGACAACCAGCTGTTGCGCGCGATGCAAACACACTCGCAGTGTTCATCTCCTCAGTCACCAGACTGCTCAAAGATGACAGTGCACTTATGGGTCTGAATCCTACATCCACTTTTTCGCCCAACATAGATATTTTAAGTTCATTAAACGTGTAGTTACAACAAACTACAATTATAAATTTTCATATTATTGGAAGTACATGATAGACATTTTTACACAGGACAATAATATTAGCTCAAACAATATAAAAGTTAGCATAACGGGAATAGTTAGTTAGTGCACCAAAATAACTATAATTAATAAACAGAATGTAAATGTATATATACACATTAATGACTCCCTAATTACTCCACTTGCTTTCTTTTGCGTTGTTGTTGTTGTTTGTCTTCTTTTGTCTCTCACCATTTCAGCTTCCATTTGACTTTTTGAATGAGAATGAAGAATGTAGATATTTGACCATTTACAATGACAAATGATCTGCAAACATTATTGGTCCCATATCTTACAATTCCCTCGTGAATTGCGCATTGCCTTCACCAACGACGCCACCTGGATTACAGTTGTGAAATATGTCTTTATAACAATAAAAGAGTATTGATTTATAACACTTCACGAATGTAACTTATAACATAACTGATCTTGTCCGCAAAAAAAATTCCATTTCTTGAAAACACCCGTTTATAAGAAAATATAAACTGTCATTATTATTAGTCTACCTTGAGTGCTATTCACTTGTGATGTTACGAAGAAAATGCTGATAAAAGTATACAAGTGCATTACTTATTTTAAATTATTATCAAGAATAAGACTCGATGCCGTACACACCAGAGTTATATTGAGGAATTACTTCAAGCTGTATTTTTTCCCAAGTATTTGTAATCCATCCAAAACATACTTGGGTTATTTTGTTAATGCGAAGACAATATTTCTATGTTTCTTGATGTGCTCCATTGAAGGACTAGTTATCATATTGTTCCCATAGACAAAATGACTGCAACCTTATAATTTTACCATGAACCAAATTTATGTAATTTAAAATAATACTTATCCATGCCTGTACAATTGGTTTGTCCTACACAGGTAGGAAAACATGTATCTTATAAAATTACTATTATTAGAAATGTTTACTGATCGTATATGTAATTTATCATATGGATGATGCCTGTAAACTGGCGTCCCTCATGTACAAAATGAGAATATACTATTATTTATTTATTGTTTATAAGAAAGCAAGCGAAGTCCTCAAGGAGTGATCAATGTGTGTATACATTTATATTCTGTTCAGTAATTATATTTATTTTGGTGCACTAACTAACTATTCCCGTTATGCTAACTTTTATATTGTTTGAGCTAATATTATTGTCCTGTGTAAAAATGTCTATCATGTACTTCCAATAATATGAAAATTTATAATTGTAGTTTGTTGTAACTACACGTTTAATGAACTTAAAATATCTATGTTGTTGTTTGTCTCGGCTACTAGTTATATAGTTAAAGAATTCAAGCTGACAGGTGATGCATAATCTGGATTTTAGGAATCCGTGTTGGTTTGGACTTAGAATATTGCAGTTGAGCATATGTTTGAGAATATCATCTTTAACTATTCTTTCAATAATTCTAGATACTATGGGTGTAATATTGATTGGCCTATAGTTGTTGACTTCAGTTTTTGATCCGAATTTGTGTTTAGGTACTATAAATGTCGTTTTCCATTTATCTGGATAGGTTTGGCTTTCTAGGGACATTGTAAAAATCTTAAGTAATAAAACGGAAATGTCAGAACCACCGTGTTTATAAAGATACGACGGTATACCGTCAAAACCGACACTACTAGAGCTTCTAAAAGTATTCGTGGCTTGGT